TCGTTGTTTCACTTTTATATTTAAATAACTTATTGGAAAAACATTAGCTTTTAAATGAAAATAAAATCCTTTCTAAATCCTAAATGGGTAAAAATTGAAAAATAAGGATTAATTTTTAGAAAAAGGGTTTTTAAATATTTGTTTTCAATAAACTATTTCTGTTAATGAAAAGTACATTAAAAAATCCCTTTTTAACAATTAAAATCCATTAGATTTTGTTGTAGTTTTATGAATTTGAATATGACAGTATCACGTAAACCCCGTGTAGAATTTTTCTATATTTTTTGTACAGGACAATTAACAAAATTAGTTTTTTTATTATTTAATAAAATGTGTGTAAAGTTCAACGGTGTAAAATTTAACGGAGAAAATAATTTTCTAATTATTAAATCAGCATATTATAATGCCGTTTTCACCGTTTGAATAAATTTAATCTTCCGAGAAGTTAAAGGCAATAGATATATTCTGCGTCTGCGCAGATGCTGTATACAAACATTTTGCGCAGACGCAAAATATATCTACTGCCTTTAACCTCTCGGAAAATTAAATTTATCCACACGGTGAAAACGGCCTCTATGTAGAGTTTAACGCTGAAGAAGTCTTCTGTGTTGAATTTAAAAATAATAATTTGTTTTTATTAAATAAACGCATGTACCCAAGCAAAAATTTACAACCGGCGCAGTGTTGCGTCAGTACTGTCAATTACTGGCAAAGTACTGACCGTCAATATTGAACCAATACTGGCATATGTTTTGGGATGATAACGTTTATTAGTACTGGTCATTAGCAATGGCTTAGTCTTGGCGTTCAGTACTGGTTCAATACTGGAATTTAGCAGTAATTCTGTATTTTGCCAGTACGGGCAAAATTATAGTAACCAGTAATAAGCCAGCACTGGTAGATATTCAAAATTCAGGGTTCTTTTTGCTTTTTACACTCAGAAAAAAATTCGTTTGAAGCAACCAAATTTTGGTTAATCAACAAAATAAATGCATTGATATACAGTTAACCAAACATTTGGTTGCATAAACCAAACGTTTATTTAGATCAATCAAATTTTTTCTTTGTTCAAAAAATTTATTAAAATAAACCAAACAGTTATTTAGATCAAATAAATATTTATTTGAATTAAACAAATTTTGTTTGTACTAACCAAAAAATTGGGTAAATATAAAAAAATGATACATTTGGTTCAAACATATCTTTTTTCTGAGTGTACATTAATTGAGCAGCTGGATCGAAGAACCGACTCTTCGCTCGAACCGCACGCACTCATACCATTTTAACTATTATTAATAATAATAAATAATTATAATAACTTTTAAATTGTTATTTTTTTATATTAAAATTTTACTCTATATTTTATTATTCAAATAATTTCTTCAAATATAAAATATATATTTATTTGTATTTGTTTAAATTACCGAAATTGAATGAAATTATTGGTTAAAATAGAGTTTATTTGATTCAAATATATTTTTTCAGTGTACGAAAAATAATTTGAGAACTTCATTAATTATGTATTTATTTTATTAAAAAGTTTTAATATTAAATTTAAAAATAATTCCGTTAACGAACGCATTGTAGTAATCGAAAAGAAGTATTAAAATAATTTTGAAAAAATATGTATGTAAATTTAATTTCTAACCAACAAAAATACACAATTTTCACGTCTATAAAAGTTGGCGTCGACGCTCAACGTCGAAAATTATTTTTCACGGGACCAAAAATAACAAATCATTTTTAAAAAAGTTTTGGGTTCATATATAATACCTTAAAAAGTATTTCTTAAGGCATTACATATTTGGACCGAAAATCTTTTTTAAAAAAATAATTTGACATTTTTGATCCTGTGAAAAATAATTTTCGGCGCTGAGCGTCAACGCCAACTTCATGGAGGTCAATTTTCATAATTTTTCCGAATACTGGCATTCGGTATTGAATTAATACTGACCGAGTACTGGTTTGCCATTACTGTCTCAAAATAATACTAGCACAGTATTGGAAAATACTGGCATTCCGGTATTGGCTTGCAGTATCTGCACAGTACAGAATTTAATACACAGTTTTCCTAAAAGTATCAAATTGAGACCAAAAATTGCAACGTTTTGATGCACATAAGTTATATCAAAAAGAGATCGTTTTGTGTATCATTTTTAGAAATGATACACGAAACGGTCTCATTTTTTGATGCAAAAAATTTAATCAATTTATATCAATCATGGCCGAATTGAATCGACTCAAAATTAAACGAATTTTTTTTCAGATATTTTGGTAATAGTACAATTGCGGAGACCATTTCACTATTTAATTTGAAAATGAAAATAACAGAAAATCAAAGACAATGTGCAATTCGATAATTAAAAAGTGACAGCTTATAAACATAACCTAAAATGCATGAGAAAAAATTTATCGATAAAATCAATATAGCCGAGCTTTTTAGAAGGTAGATGGCAGTTTTGCTTTTTATAAAAACGATTCAGAAAAAATTTAAAGAAAGAAAATAGATGAGTGCTGCCATCTACCTTCTATAAAAAGCTCGGCTATATTGATTTTATCGACAAATTTTTTCTCATGCATTTTAGGTTATGTTTATAAGCTGTCACTTTTTAATTATCGAATTGCACATTGTCTTTGATTTTCTGTTATTTTCATTTTCAAATTAAATAGTGAAATGGTCTCCGTAATTGTACTATTACCAAAATATCTGAAAAAAATTCGTTTAATTTTGAGTCGATTCAATTCGGCCATGATTGATATAAATTGATTAAATTTTTTGCATCAAAAAATGAGACCGTTTCGTGTATCATTTCTAAAAATGATACACAAAACGATCTCTTTTTGATATAACTTATGTGCATCAAAACGTTGCAATAGAAAAAGATACAACCAAGTTTACTGTGATCCATAGGGGTCGTCCATAAATTACGTAAGACATTTTTCTGGTCATTTGAACCCCCCCCCCTCCCCTATGTAAGATTTTTTACATGCATTAGCGCCATTTTTCCTATTGGTCGTAAGAAATACTTGACCCCCCCTCCCCCCTAAAAGTCTTACGTAATTTATGGACGGCTCCATATCAGTACTGAACCAATACTGGTAAGCCAATTGTCGGCCAGCCATAGTATTGATGCATGATTGCGCCTGTTGTCAATATCGGCGTTTGACAGAAATTTTTGCTTGGGTAGAGTTTAACGGTGTAGAATTTAAAAACAGTGGATAGTTTTAACAGTGTAGAATTTAACCTTTTGTACAGTTTACCGTTTACAGATTAAACGGTGCAGAATTTAAATTTGTAATATTTAAACAGCGCCTTAAATGTTTATTTAATTTTGCTTCCTCGTGGAGGAAGCTATGTAGTCCTTTCGTTTATAAACTTTTTAAAAATGGTGAAAACAAATTTTCCTCTATATAGAAACATGTTATATGAGATCCTGATCAATTGTCCGGATGTATGTATGTGTGTGTGTATGTGTGTGTGTGTGTGTGTGTGTATGTGTGTGTGGATCGTTTTTGTGAACACGATATCTTTAACAGGTTTTAATGGATTTGGATAAAATTTGGTAGGCTTATTTAACACATTAATCTCTCAAAAATGACGAGAGGATTTTTAAAAATACCCCAAAAAAAAAATTTTATCGTCTTTTTTCCAAAAAATTTTTTTTAATTGAAAAAATTTTTAAATCGAAAAATTTAAGGTAATATATATTATAATCGTCTTCTTTATGTCAAGATGAATCGATTGATATATATAAAGTATAGATTTGATTGAAATTTAAAGAATTAAAGAAAGTTAAAAAATAAAAAATTCTCATTTTAGCTAAAAAATGATGTGTTTATTTAAATTCATGTTTATATATGAAATAATTTTATTCCCTGCATTGAAACAAATTGGTTGGTATATATAAAGTATAGATTTGATTTAAAATTTGAGAATTAATATATAAAGTTTATGTTACACTCAAAATTAATTAAAATTTTCTTTATTTTTCAAAAAATTTAATTAATTTAAAACATTTTTAATTCGAAAGTTTTTAAATGAATCAATTGAATTGGACAAATTCATTGCTTCCTTCACGAGGAAGCGAATTTTTTGCTTCATTATGAGGAAGCATAATGTTTATGAAATAAACATAAAGGACCCCCTACTTGTTTTTATACTATATTATGAAAAATCTGCAATTATTATTTTTTTTTAAAAAAAGATATATTGACATTTTTTTTTGTGTGAAATTTTTCGTTTCGTGTTTATTAATACATTGGTAATTTTCCCCTTTGTTTGATTTATACCACTTCCGACGATGATATAGTCGTGGAATAAATCTGATATTCGCAATTCATCTTGTGTATTGGGTTTTGTATCACAAAATGCAGACAAAAGCCCCGGGAACGCACACGCAATGGACACGCGTCGAGGCTTATGGCCTATCTGAATTGCAAATCTGGACGCAATTAAAAGTGTATCGCGCGCGGGATTGTAACGGTAAGAGTCGAATTTGCAATTAAGGGAAAAACATTAACGATCGCGTCGTGAAAGAAAAATTTCTATATACATACACCGAATGACGTCTGCAAAATTAGCGATTATTAGGGAAAAACAATGAAAGAACATTGTGTTTTATATCATCAAAAATGAGTCTTTAAAGTACAAATTTTACCACAGTGAAACTTTTCGATACAAAATTACAGATATATGAAGGGTTAAGATATTATAATTTTATTATTTTTAATTTTCCTTGGAAACCTAAAACTAAAATCTTTTACTGAATATCTAATTTTTTAAAAGAATATAAATACTCTTCGTAAATACCAATAATAATATCATCTTTCTTCATTAGTATAATTACAAGATTCCAAAAGAGAAAAAAAAATATATAATCCCAATGTCAAAAATTGTTTTCTCTAATGATATACAATAAATATTAAAACGACACTAGTTTTACGCAAATTTGGTTATGTTATTTTGTTGTTTTTAAATAAATCTGTTTCCTTAGATGATTGCCGCTAATATCAATTAGTGTGTGTGGTCCGTATTTATCAGAGGAATGCCGCTAGAAGATTTACGGATCAATGTATAGAATAAATGTCGATACCTGGTGGAAGCGAGGAGCATCTTGTTTACACGAGAAGAAAGATCGGTTCAAAATTGCCGGTTTTATGGTTAACCGGTTAATCGAGCCACCTCTTGATGGATCCGAGCATATATAATCATCATCATCATCATCATGATCCAAGCCTTGGTAATTTGTAAGTCGTAAAACAGGCTATATGGCTCGTGTCGAGAGAGGGTGGCGTAGGTTGAATGTAATGTACGTATAACTTTCCTTTCAATATATATATATATACTATGTATATCATATAGAATTTTATCTTTATACTTCAAAAACCCCATTTCCATTTTCACTTCATCTGAATTCTATATATATATATATTCCACTTGTAATTGAAAATAATATATTACAATAAGAACAGCTAAGAGGAAAAATTTTATTTTATATATAAATCGGAGGAACATATGCATATTCCCCCCCACATTAGAACAGTCGTAATTTTTGTGAAATCGAATTAAAAATTATCGATTTTTTATTTAACAGAATTTTATACAGTAGATTTTACAATGAGTCGAATTTTAATATATAGCGAAAAATTTCTAACTAAATTCTGAATTAATAGAATTTCTCTTTAACTAAATTTTTGAATAGCAGATTATCTTTTTTTCTTCTTGTTTCCTTTCTCTAATCTACATATATATTTTAACATAGCCTTTATTATTAAAATTCATTTTCTAAAAACTTTTGATTATTAAATGATATTTTTTGAAAAATATAATAATTATTTGAAAAGAAATTAATAAAAACTTGAATTGTTTCTAAAGTAAATTTTAACGTTGAATTCGAGTTAGCGGTTCGTTTTTTCACTACACGTCAGGTTTTTGAGATAATTGCAATGTTAATTTTTTGCAACTTTAAACAATTGTTACTGAAAATCGACTTAGAAAAAAAAATCGTAACTTACTTAAAGGTTTTTGGGATTGCTACTTACGAATTTGAAGTAGATTTTAAAAATTCAAAATAGCGGATCCAATATGGCGGACGAAAATATTAAAAATCAAATGGATTTGCTTGAAACTTATACTTGAGGGTTTTAGGGGTTGCTGATTACGAATTTGAAGTACGAATCTAATGTATTTGCTTGAAACTTATAACTTGGATTTCAAGCTAATCTAATTAATTTTTTATTTTTTAAACCACACTATATTCGATCGACTCGAAAGGTATTTAAAAATTGTCATTTAAAATATCAACATTATTATTTTACATAATAGCCAATTTACAAATTTACACAGAAAATGTCAAAAAAAAAAAATTCTTCGTCAATGTATTTGTAAAATTGTATTTTTATGCCTACACAACATTAAATCAAAATGAAAATGTAATTAAAATTCATGAAGGTTCAAACGCTCAATAGAGAGGATCAAATTAATTTGAAAAAAAATATTCACCATCGTTTGATGATGAAGGGGGGTCTTGGAAAATTTTATCACGAAAAATTTTTATTCGATTCACTGAATTCAACGCGATTTTTCTTCTCGACAGAATTTTCGTGATTTTCATTTTTTTTTCACTCCATCATTTAAAAGTAGATGATTCTTTTTTGAAAAATTATGTTTTTTTTCTTTTGTCGAGCAGAAAAAAAAGAAAGATGAATGAAAGGAGAGAGAAAAAATAATCCACCATCAGCATCGCGAGATTACTGATCGCATATATATATATATACGTATATTATTGAGAACGAAAAAATCAATGAGGTAGAAATTTACACCGCGCATAAAGTTCCCTATAGTTTTTTGCGTCAACTCGTTTCTACCTAAATGAAACCCAGTGAAAAAAGCTTTTCACCAAATTCTTTTTCCGTATTTTACAAACAAAGTATAGAAATATTTTTCTGAGGGACAATTGAATTGCGTACGTGTACTACGACTCTCGGGCGAACTATGTGTTGCGGTTTTTTATCATCAACAAACATTTAGGTTTTTTTTTTATAATCTGCTTGTAAAGTTGTGTCAAAGTTGGAGAAAAAAATGAAATCAAACGTATGTACTAAATATGCATCAAAGTGGAAATTTTTGTAGTAGATTTTTGTTTCATTGTGTTCACAAGAATGTATAATTTATTTGTTTTATTTATATTTAATATTTTTTTCTTGTTGAACTAAAATATTTTTACAAATGAATCTAATTAAAAAGCTGTATAATTTCCTGCTTATCTTTAAAAAATTAATTTTTTAAATAATACCCCCACATACACGGAAAGAAATTTAGTAGCAATATTTGATAAATCTGATAGGAAATTTTAGTATTCTCTTTTTCAAACGCGGAACATTTGGGTTTGATAACGAAAATCGGTATATTTTTACCAATAGTCTTTTTAGTAAATATATTCCAGAAATTGAAATTATTATTTCGTAAATTGATAAATTTATACGAAAAACCAGAAGTAAGTTAAATCGATGCGCACTTCGTTATTTACTAAATTTATATGAAAATTTGGAAAGATTATTTCGAAATTTGTTAAAACTATACTAAAAATTCGAAGTGGTTCAGTCGTGACAGATGACGACAGAAACACCAACAGATTCTACGCCAAAGTTTTATCTCTTTCTCATCTCGAGGATAGACGAGGATATGAACTTTTAAATGCACACACACACACATACACCGCATTGTTTTACATCGATTGGCTTATTTTTATTCCTAACCTATACTAACGATAATACGTATAACATTCGCAGAATAACGCTTCATATACAAATTTACGCTCATGTGAAAAACTGATGTGACCATTCTTATATACTAACCAGACATATTTTTCACCGCTTATGAGAAAGGTGAAATTATATCAAAACATGTTTAAAAATATAAATAAAAATCATTATTAATTGGGAAATAATTAAATATTTTATTATTTTTTGAAGAACAATTTTTTTACTGATTTATTGTAAAATCTTCGAAATTAATTATATAAAAGAAATTCAGGTCTGTATCAAGATAATAGTAAAAAGGGGCTTGTCTAAAGAGCTTCGTCAGTCTTCGTTACCACTCGGTGAGGATCGGGCAATTCCGAACGTTCAACTTCGGCAAATTTCGTCGAATCTCGTTAACTTTGATATTTCTTTTTCAATTTTCATATCAAATATATCAAAATCTGAAATAATTATATCATTTTATAGAATTCTAATTACGAAATTTGAAATATTTGGTTAGAAAAATTGATAAAGAGCTTATTAAAATTTGACATTTTTGTGGTTCAATAAAAAGATTTCAGATTTCGTGAATATTATATCAAATTTTCTTTCCAACTATATTAAATATTCTTATTTTAATCTCAATCATTCTTAAAAATAGTATCGAAAATCGTTATCATGCCAAAATGTTCCGCAATTGTAACCAAATATACTAAAAAGTAACACCATAATATCAAATATTGCTACAAACTTTCTTTCCGTGTACCAAGTTCCGTAAAAATCTAACAAGTTTTTAAAAATTCAATCCGCCATTTTGAATTTTGCAAATCTGACCTCAGATTCGTAATCAGCGACCCCGAAAACTCTTAGATACCATATCCTATGAAAATTTTTTACTTTATATCCAATTAGATATTATTAAGCGTTATTAGAGGTTTTTTTTTGGACCTAGGGAGAAGCGCTTCACCTCAAAAACCTTCGTCTTTGCCGATATAAAAAATACATATCTCTTATTTTTCCGAGTCCTAAAAGTGTGCTAAGTTTCATCCAAATCTGTGTTAACCTATGTAAAAAGAAATAAAAAATTTATTTCTACAGAAAAATAATTGTACAGAATTTTTGTTTTACAGAATATTAATTAATTCGAATTTTCATTTTACAGAATTTCCATTTAACCGATTATCAATGTTACAGAATATTTATTTAGATGAAAATTGATTAGCCAGAAATTCAATTTGATTGAATCTCAATTTGTGCAAAAACATGTTTTGTAGAATATTAATTTTGCAGAATAGTAATTCAAAATAATTTTAATTCTGCAGGCAGGATTAATTTTAAAAATAAGGGAGTGGGAATAATATTGTCAAATAACACAGAATTTTGCTTATATTAATAATTAATAATTCTTTAACGTCCGAGAGAATATATTTAAAACGTTAAGCGACAAAAACGATAACATTCGGACAAATAGATTTTTAATTAAATTTTCTCAAACGTTTCGAAGTCACACTGATTTCCTCTTCAGGGAGTCTAGTAATACAAAATTATAAAAAATAAAAACAACAAACAAAAATACAAATAAATTAAATTAATATGAGACGAAGACTATTACAAACTTCAAAAAACAAAAATACAAAAGGTAGTCAGAGTATTAAATAAATAAATAAAAATATATACATACAAAATTATACAAGAACAATTAACAAAAATATAAATCAATAAATCAAATTAATTAATATATAGAAAAATTTAAAAATAAATAAAAACAAAATGCAATAAATAAATAATAAACAAAATACAAGTTACCAAATAAAAACGATGAAAACAATTATCAGTCAGTCATTCTCACAATCGTCAAAAATCGATAAAAATGGAATCAACAAAAAAACACCCATACGATGGAGAAATAGTATCTGGAGTCAGAAGTATAATTAAATTTAAAATTAAAAATGAATAAATAATATAAGAAGATGATATCGATCATTCCGAGTCAAAGATTAAATAAAACACTATTCTTTACGTTTCAATAGCACAGCCATCCTCTTCAGAAACTTAAAAAGAATGAAACATTATTTAAAAAAAGAAATTTTTCGTTAGAATAAATAAAATTTAGAATTGATTAACCGTCTCAATAGACACGATTGCTAATAGTGTCTATTAGCAATTGTGTCTATTGAGACGGTTAATCACTTCTAAATTTTATTTATTCTAACGAAAAATATCTTTTTTTAAATAATGTTTCATTCTTTTTAAGTTTCTGAAGAGGATGGCTGTGCCATTGAAACGTAAAGAATAGTGTTTTATTTAATCTTTGACTCGGAATGATCGATATCATCTTCTTATATTATTAAATACTACCGAGTGATAGAATCAAAAACTTTATTAAAAATGAATAAAATTGAGAATTAATTGAAGGAATAGTTTTATTGTTAGATTAGTTAATGATAAAAATAAAAATTGTTAAAATAATAATAATAAATTAAAAAATCATAAAGATAAAAATAAAATAATTTAATAATAAAAATAATAATTAATAAAATAAAACAAAAAACTTACACACAAAAATAATCCATTCTTTAAGAAAAACAAAAACACAATTATTGTCACAAAAATAAATAAACAAATAAATTAACAAATAATTAAATAAGACATGGCAGATTTTAAAAGTTGTGACATTTTTGAAGGTACAATTATGACTGAACTCAAAATACTATATCTTCCTTACAATAGTCATTAAGTAAAAATGTGACGCGATCTGAAGAAAAGGACCTTAGAAGCAAAAAATTATAGGTTACGTTTAGAAATTTTAAAGTGAAAATACACAAAGACGTTCAACTCATAATGCAAACTAATGATATTTAGGTCTTCATTGCATCCAAAATATTCAATAAAAACTGATTTCACTTTTACAAAAATAAAAATAAACTTTTAGTTCAAGTAAAGCTATTGTAAACATAACCAATAATTCATTTGCTTCTAAAGTCCCTTTCTTCAGATCGCGTCACAAATAGAAAAGCAAAAGAGACAGAAATAAAAAACAAAAATATAAGAACGAAGAGTGGATATAATGAGTATTATTTAATCAATCTGTTAGAAACAAAATTCAAAATCATTTCATACAATTTATCAAAGTTTTCCAAATCAGTTTTTTCATTGAAACTATTATATTACCTTCTTTTTTTATGAAAATCATTTCAGAAAAAAAGACGTTTACTAAGATTTGGTTCAATATCTAAAATTTTAAAATCATCCCATTTAATAAAATGTGGGGTACTGTCATTATTGATATGAACAGGTCTTTTGGTTTGTCCTATATATGCTTTACCACAATTACACTCAAATTTACATATACAATTACTTTGATTATGTCTCTCAAGTCTATCCTTGCCAAGTTTAATAATTGTATCGAGTTTTGAATTTACATTAAAAATTGTTTTTATATTAAAATTATTGAGAAGTCTCTTTATCTTCTCCGATATTGCTCCATAATATGGAAAGATCACTTTCTTTTCTTTTTTATTATTGATATTATTGACGTTATTAATATTGTTCGGATTAATTTTATTATTTTTACTGTTGATTTGTAAAATTTTTTTTTTGATATGTTTGTTAATGAATTCATCAGGATAATTATTGAATCTTAAATATGATTTGACCAGATTAATATTTTTATTATGGAACACTTTATAAGAAAGTATCAAAGCTGTATCAACAAGATTCTTAATCAATGCAATCTTATTATGAATTGGATGGTTAGAAAAATAATTTAATAGTCTCTTAGAATATATGTATCTTTCCTGTACCAATCTGTAATGATACCACTATTGTCAGTTCTAATAATTTTCAAATTTAAAAAATTAATGTCACTATTACTTTCTATTTCATTGGAAAATTGTAATCTACTATAAAAGTAATTGAAGGCATTTAGAACTACTGAAACTTTATTTTTTCGAACGCATAAAAAATTGTGTCAACTACACACCTACCGTTTATATGAAATAATTTTAAAATCTAAATTTTTAATGATATTTTCTTTCAAATCTTGCATAACTATGTCTGCTAAAATTGGAGAAATGGACGAACCCATTGGTGTGCCAAATTTTTGCCTGTAATATTTATTGTTGAATTGAAAATTCATGTTATTCATGATGAATACTATGCAGTTTTTAAATTCATCTTTTGGAATATTGGTCGATTTCTCAATAAATGGCCATCTGTCCTCAATTCCCTTCATAACCAATTCTATTGGTACCTTAGTAAATAAGGAAGTGACATCAAGAGACACCATAACATAATTATGTGGAATCCTGAAATTCAAAATGGATTCTTTAAATGAAAAGGAATTCTTAACGTTAGAAGTTGGTTTTGGTAGAGATCTAGTTAAAATGTCAGTAAACATTTTTGACATAAAATATGTAGGTGAATTTATGGTTGATACTGCAGGTCTGAGAGCTTATATTGTTTATCTTGATTGAAAACTGATTGTAATAGAGTGAAAATATGTTTATAGTTTAGAAAAATAAAAAAAAAGTGTTTTGACAGAAGGAACGGTATACTGCCAACTTAAACAATGGCGCTAAATTTCAAAACTTGTGAAATTAATTATTATTTCAATAAATAATAATACATATTTTTTTGCTTAAAAATTATTCAAAATTCCCACTGGTAAAGAAAATTTTTCTGGTATTGTTGAAATATTAAAAAAAATAATTGTAATTCAAAATCACTCTGCAACAGATGCCAACCTGAAAATCTGACTAGAATCATTTTGAATAATTTGAATTTTGTTCCCTACTCAATTCGATATACCCTAAACCGAGTTACAATAAAAATGATTTCAAATTTTTTCTATGAAAATAATCAATGAAAAATTAAAAATATCCTTTTTAGCAGTAAAATGAAAAATTTTGAAACAACTTTCATCACAGTGTGGAATAATAATGAGAAATTCTGGAGACCGTGTATATAAATCAGAGAAGGATTAGACAAGAGGAGAAATTGGAACAATGTCGGAAATAATTACAATCCCTTGCATTTTCTGTCGTTCCATATGTGTTGTATATTGGTAACGACTAATTATCTATGTTTGTGGTGATCACAACAGAAAAAAAAAAATTGCAGACTATATGTTGATGGAAATAAAGTATATGTACATGACATGGTGTTATTCCTCCAATGTGTAACACAAGTCTGGGACTATAGACTGAATCGATAGATCGCGATCCATTCGATATCGTGAATGATTCCCAAAAAAAAAAAATAGAAGCAAAAGGGAGGAATAACGAGAGAATCATTTCGATATGGGAAAATGCATAGACCCCCTTTCCACAGACACACAGCAATTCCATGCCCGACACTGCAGTGGAATTAACTCTAGGGGTATATATATATATATATACATTATATACGCACTCTATGGTTATGGCAGGTTTCAGGAGACTTTCATTTTAGTTTATTCATACTGGACCCTTTAAACTTTTCGCTTATGTCATGCGTTTCATCATGATAAAACTGATATGGAAATTAGCCGCAGTTTTTTTTTCTATACTCTTTCAATTTTATATCTCGTAATTTTTCCTACCGAAAAGATTTTGTATTCGATAGAGGAAAAATTTTCTTTTATGAAAATGTGACAAAAAAAGAAATTTTTAAATATGTAAATATAATTAAAAATTCCACTTGCATCATTATTTTATACCTATATATAGGTGGTATTAATTTAATCCAAATATTTTGTAAGTTTTAAATTAATAAATGCCATTTTGAATTTTGAATAGAGATTTGTCATCAGTTATTCGTATAAGTAAACTCAATTTCTTGAAAGTTGGTCTGACATTTTGAATCTGGCGTTTAAAATTTTTTTAAACTAAGATCGGATTCGTAATCGTAAGCGACCCAGAAAATCCCCCATGTAGACATTTTTACGAAATTAACTCAATTTTTTAATTTTTGGTCCACTATTTAAAATTTTTAAATACTGACAGCGGATTCGTAACCAGCGACTTCGAAAACCCCAAAGTAGTCATTTTCATGAGCCTAGCTCAATTTTTTAATTTTACCCGCCATATTTGATGCGCCATTTTGAATTGGGATTTGTTGTTATTTTTATCGTTATATGTGAATCTTTAAACAATAATATAGATCATATTAATGGATTTTTTGTATTTTTTATATCCTATAGGCGCCATATTTACGTTGCCATTTTGAATTTTAAAAAACGACCAACGGTATTAAAAAGTAAATATTTCAAGCTAATTTTTCCAATATGATTAAATTTTTTTAAATTAAACCAAACTAACCAAAATAATAATTTACTAAAAGTATTTAACACTGTTTTTTGTTTTGTAAAGTTACGAAATGTTAAATTATCAATGGTAAACCAAAAAATAAGCAAACGAAGAATATATATCGTTAAGTTGATATACAATGTTTTATTGTGTGATTTTCGGCAATAATTGAAAACTATATAAAGTTTTTTAGTCAAATTTTAGTCAAAAGTGTTTCTTTTTTCTCTTTGTTCACAGGAGGGAATATAAATATTTGAATATATTATCTGAAGAATTGACCGTTAAAGTGATTCATCACCAAAGGATGTCACGTAAAACTTCAATTTATCTTAAATTTTCTCCAAGGAATTTGAGGAGAATAATTCAGCAGCAGCGCCAACCAACTAAGTCAGGGTGCAATTATTTTAGAAACGATCTGCACTTTATCCAAAGGAACGTCGCGAGTGGAATAACAAACGTGAGAGTGGCGCGCATCGCCAGAAGCCGGGTCGAGCATTATTTCCACGCTTGCCATAAAACTGTCACGACTCTCTTAAAGCAGTCGTCACTATGGGTCTTGAGAAGCTAAGCTAATACCTAATACATCCTTCCCTGTAAACTCCCGATCTCTCAAGTGATTACAATTTACGTCTTGGTTTAAATCGGGAATCCACAAGTGACTAATTGCCAATCTATTTTCGTTAAATGGAATTATCCAAATGTCTCTGTTAATCACTTCCTTCTTCTTCTTCTTCTTCTTGGAATAGCAATTACTAATTTACATATGTAATAACAATTCATTAAATGTTATGAGAAATTTTAAAAATTAAAAAAAAATTTCTTTAAAATATATTTAATATTGTTATAATTGTTATTGACTTTTCTTTTTTTTCCTTTAACATTTTATGAGACGATTTAAAAATTATTTGATCAAATTTTAAATTGCAAACGATATCCGAAAATTATTTGTTTATTAGAATGTAAATTTACTATAATTTTTATTACTTAAAATAATTAATTAGTCAAAAATATTTTCATCAAATATTTCTTTCATATATAATTTTTAATTATTCCAATTAATTTTCTTTAAAACTTTAATTAATAATTGTAATTAAAACCAATTTTTTCGGACCTAAATGTAATATAGTAAAATTTATATAAAACGAATTACTGATTTAAAAAAAAAAGTTTGATCAAAATTTAACTTCACAATAATGGAATATAACAAAAATTATTAAATCACATAATCATGATTTCATCTATAATTGTACATTTATTTAATTTCAAATTATTATTTATCCTAATTTTTTCATATTTAAATTTCATTTATTCTAAATGACAATTTATCAAAATTTCAATTTAATAAAAAATAATTTCATTAAAACTTTATTTATTCAAATTATTAAATGATCCAATATTGTGTAAGTCTTTAAATATAAAATTTTGTAACATTACCTACAATATTTTATTTTGCATAAAAACACGAACGAATTATTTTTAAAAAATAATTTTCACATGTAGATATTTTTTATTATTATGTGAATAAGAAATTTTAATATATAAAGATAGACAATACATTTATTAAAAAAAGTAAAAAACTATTGCAGTAAGTAATTAAAATTTTTGAAATTTCGAATGATTTAAAAATATGTTATGCGACTTCTCTCAAAAATAAAAATTTTCCTGATAAAGTTTTAATTAATTATAAAATACGCACTTTCCAAGATTTACTTCCAAGTTAAATTTCCTATATATTCATATACTTTTATAGTCTCTGTTTATTTTCAGATTTTCTCCCCAGCAAAGTTACATATTATTCTTTAATCAATATTTATAAAACACATAAACTTTCAATTATAAATTTATATCTTAACTTTTATGGAAAATTTTAATTTTCCTAAAAACTAGTACGAATTGTAACCTAAAAAGTTGTTTATTTTGAGAAAAAAAATAAGGATAAACAATAGTTTGAAAGAGTGGACAAAAATGAATAGAAGCGAGTGAACTAGTCAATTCCAGGGAGAAAGTAATATATTTTTTCTTAAACCCAGTTTCAATTGTATAACCAGATCTGTGCTAGATGTTCGAGAGCTGCTTACCTCAAGGGAATAAGTATATATATATATATATATATATATATTTATAATATAGAGGAGAAAGAGGGTGAAATGTTTCGCTTCTGCATTTAGAGTATATTTTATTTCTCGAAAGTCTCTTCCTTTTCGCAGATTTCTCACGAACAATAATATATACTCAAAGTCTTTGTCATAAAATGTTTAAAAGAACAGAAGACACATATATATATAGATCGATGGATGATTTACATTATACGCAAAGATTTCATTTAAACTGCTTCAAATATTGTAGCTAAAAATAAAATTCTGTTATATAATATAATAATTTTTTAAAAAAAATTTATATTGTCAAGTAATGCAAAAGTCAATATTTTATTCTTAAAGTGTCTCTATTCATCTTTTGAAAACTGATAGATATTTCAAAATTAGCCATATTGTTGAGAAACTGCAATAATTATAAAAAAAAGATAAATTTTGCAAAATTTTTTATTTTTTCCTGTCCTCTTTTGTTTTTACATCATTTTTATAATTTCTCTCTACTTTACTAGAAAATGCATTATGCCGTTGTCTTCCTTATTAGAAAACGGAAAAAATCCACTATATAAAAATTGTTTTCAGTAAAATAGAAAATTTACACACACGTTTCAGATCTGGGGTGCCAAACCACCCCGTTTTTCCAGTAGAGGGTAAAAAAATCATATTTCCATTCTAGGGTTCAAAATTTTTTATTACATTTAATAAGTTTTTCATGATATTTATATTCTAACTTTTCAATATGTATATATTAAATCAAAAACTAATGAACAACAATGATGAGAATTTGATTGAATAAAAAATTAAATAAAAACCAATTCACGTTAAATTAAATATATTTCAAAACAAGTTGGTTTAAATAAAAATTTAATTCGGGTCAGCCATTTGAATTCAATGATCCCAAAAACTGTTGTATGAGGGTTTCGGACTTTTAATTTACGAATTTATTTTTAAATTTCCGAAATTATTGACATTTATGCGCCATATTGGAGTCGCCATTTAAAATTTCGAAAAACGACACTCCACGGAGAGAAATAGATGCATGGAGAAACTTTGTGTATCACTTTTTGTTAAACTCAATATGTAGTTTTAGTAAATTGACTACTAAAGTGGGAAAAAAACGAGAAAAAGACGAAATTTCTGATGTAATAGAAGTCTCTTTAACAATATATGACTTGTTTTTTTTCAATATTTTGTAGTCAAGTTAAGAAAAATTCGACGTGGACAGTGTCGTAACTAAAAAGGGTTAGATGAAGCCCCGACTTAATCGCAACAATTATTAATTAACTTTTAATTGAATCATAAATAATATTAATGAGGTTATTTTTTAGGTTATTTTTCTTTTTCTGTGTTTAAAATTTCACAATCCGGTTAGATTATACATCGAAAATACTGTTTTTATGAAGTTAGGGGCGCTTAAAACATACAGTACTCTCCTGAGCACATGTGAGCTTGTCTATGAAACCGCCCCAAAAAAGTATATCATGTCATGTACATCTCTTATCCAAACTTATAATTTTTTAATTATTGAGAATCGGTTTCAAATGAACACTATTTTTGTTTTTTCTTTTTTTGTAAAGTTGAAGTGTATTTGTGTTACTCACGAAGTATTATAAGGAGCACTCACTCTACTGGCCGTTTCGGAAAATTCTGGTCACATGTTTTTCCGATTCAATTAACGAAATGTCCCATAACGATACTAACAACCCTAGCCGGAAAATTAATTACTACAGGTCACGTGATTTTATCGTCTGCTATGCTTGAATGTTTGTTGTTTGTTTACACTGTATTCAGCAGCAGTATTTAGTGCGGGACGGTTTTGAAATTTAATTTTGATTAGTTTAAACAAGTTGTTTTGTAAATATTTGAATGGACAAACTATATTCATCGAATTTTCCATTATTTTCTGTGTACAGATGAGTGACAGATGGTGATATAACCTAAAAATTGTAATAGAATTTTTATAAATACATGAGATGTAAAAATGTAAATTATATAAATAATTTTTTTATACACATGGAAATCTATAAATTTAAACAAAATTCATAAATTGCAGAATATACACTTTTATTTAATCTTGACAAGTAATGGAAAACACATAAAAATAAGACATAAATCAATTCCAACTTATCACGTTTATGTTCTCACAAAATTCTTTCCACAAATTGTTATTTTTTTATATGTGCACTTTTTTATTTATTTATTTCATTTATTTATCATATTAAACTCAATAAAAATCATCATTTCACAAAGTCAACAGTCTTTATTTACGAGCAGTAGCAGACGATATTAGGCGCAGACATATTGTGAAAAACTATAAAGTACATAGCTTTTCCTGTAGAGGCGTCCTAATGTTACTTCGTGTCACTAAAAGTGAGGTTAGGTGCGATACAATACTTATACGACAAAGTTATTAATCAAGACAAGACAGCGGAAACACCAAGGCGAAGGAACAAGTTCTCATCAGATCACGGAAGTTAAGCAACGTTGGACGCGGTTAGTACTTGGATGGGTGACTGCTTGAATTGACATTCGACGAAATGTTTTTTCGTGAAATTTAATTTTCGATCAAATGCCAAATTTTAGTAGTCAGACTAAGAAAAATTGATACCGTTGCAGTTTTTTTCCCACTTTAGTAGTCAATTTACTAAAAATACATAGTGAGTTTAAGAAAAAGTAATACTCAAAGTTTCTCCGTGTGGTACGGGGTACAATCTAGATAGTACCAGGTACAATATTTGATCTTACATATACAGACAGCTATCTAGATTCTATCAGTTACTATGCAGATTGTAAGGAGTAACATCTTGATTGTAGTGGTGGGTAACATAACCATAATTTTTGTAACATCTCTGATAGTACCGAGTAGCATAATGATAGTACTGGATAACATCTACTTTTTACCATTTTAAGATCATAAGTTCATACTATCTATTTCTCTTCGTGTCGAGATTCGAAAGTATATGAATGTACTAATTTTTTAAGCCCTAGAACATTAAATTCCATCAAAAACATTTTTGGCAAGATATGCCTGTTCTTGTTGACGTAAAACGTCACAAATACAAAATAATATATTAAGAAATCATTCATTTTCCCACCTTAAAAAATTCCCTAAAAACCTATGTAAATAATGCTGTAATGCTGTTTTAACTTACTTTTAGTTATACATTATTATTAATAAAATAATATTAAAACATTGTTCAGATTTTGCCATAGAATTTATTTTCCGCAAACGATCAGTTCGGTTATTTCTTAATTATATAATTATATAATTATATAAAATACAAGAAAAATGACTCTGCGAAACAATGATATATTCCATAACTTATATAATACCAAAGATTTTAGTACGTAGATTGCTTATAAATTTACTTAAAGAAATACCATAGAAATCAATGTTATTGTGGTGTTGTGCTCATTAGCTTTTCTTGTTAATCTTATCATACCAGTGTTATTTCCATAATTTGTTCTTTGCAATGACTGTCTGAACAAAGTCGGATTTTTGGTTGGTCTAGTAGAAACAGCAAAATTAAACAAAGGAAAAGAGTGGAGGGCAGATTATGATGCCATTAATAATTTTAAACAAAAAAAATAAATC